GGGGCCCGGCACTGGAGGGACGGCGAGGGAGGAGGAAGCCCCGGGGCCGCTCTCTCCGGCCGGGATGCGAAGGTAGCGGCGAGGCCGGTTGCGTTCCCAGCGGACCTTCTGGCGGCCGCCAGTCCCGCCGCGGGGGGCAGGGAAGAGCCTCCGTCAGCATCCTCCGGGAGGCGAAAGGTGGAGCCCGGCCCGTTCCTGCGGAGCGTCCGTTCCTGCTTCCCCCGGGCCGGCACCGTCCTGGCGCGGTGCCGGTGGCTGCCCCGGGGCTCTGGGGCCGGCTGCCCCCGTTCACCCCCCGAGGCAGCCATGCCCTCCCCCAGCGACTCCAGCCGCTCGCTGACCGGCCGCACGTCTCGCAGCCTCACCCATCTCCGCGTCCAGCGGACCTGGCTGCAGATCCTGCTGGTGCTGGGCTTCATCCAGCTGATCCTGGGCGTCCTGATCGTCACTTTCAGCCTGGTAGCAGCCACCATCACGCCCTCCGCCAAGATCCGGCACTCCTGCCCGTCCTGGGCCGGCTTCTCGGTGAGTCTGGGGCAGCATGTGGAGGGGTCCGGCACAGACCTGCTCCGCTGGGTCCGTACAGCTCCCTGGATGCTGAATTTGCCGCCGGTCCCAGGGGAGTGCAGCCCCGCTGCTCCCCCACCCTCTGCCTGTAGCTGCCGTGGTGCATTGTGGGACAATCCCAGGGGTTCCCCCAGGGTGACTCTGTGAGGGATGGGGACCCCCGGAGCCGTAGGGGTGTCTGCCCGGGGTAGGCACTGAGGTGACATGCTTCTGGGAAAACCCTGAGTAGGTCTGTGCCGCTGCAGGCAGGGAGGGGTGTGTGCGGTGCTGCAGTGACGACAGGACGGGGAACACCCTGCCCTGCTCCCCGCTGAGCGGTGGTTGCTCTGCCTGCGGCCGTGGGGTGAGGGCAGGACCCTGGCAGGCCTGGGGTCCCCCAGCAGTGACCTCGTGGCACGGATCCTGGCCCAGGTTTGCTGCCCGGCATGGAGCTGCCTGCATTCCCCAGGCTCTCCAGTGCTCTGAATCAGCAGTTTCTCCAGGCTTGCGGCGCCGAGGCTGCCCCTACAGCCCTGCTGCTCCTGGGCCGGCAGGGCTATAGGGCTGGGGAGGGAGTCTGTCCAAGAGCAGGGGCTGCTCTGGGCCCCACTGCCTGGCAGAGTCCCCTCCCTGTCCTCACCCCTGGGCTTGTGCATCTGCAGCTGGCACTGTCTGGGCTTGTCGGCATCGTCTCCTGGAAGCGGCCACTCACCCTGGTGGTAGGTGTTTGGGGGGACCCCTCCACAGACAGGGGTCCAGGCTGGGGAGGGTGGTGCGGGGGGAGCAAGCGGCCACAGATGCCCCAAGATGTGCAGCTGCCATGCGTCGGCTCCTCGCTCCGCAGCCCTGCCCGGCTGGCAGCTCCTCTCCTCCCCTCTGCAGATCACCTTCTTCACGCTGCTGTCGGTGCTGGGTGTCATGCTGAGCCTCGCCGGGTCCATCCTGTCCTGCCAGAACGCGCAGCTGGTGAAGTCCTTGGAGGCCTGTGAGAGGGTGAGGCTGGCCAGGGGCTGCTGCAGTGCCCCCATGCACCCAGACAACTGAGCTCAGCTTGCCCCTGGCTGCAGGGCTCTGGGGACTCGGGGAGCTGTGAAACGGGGCGCTGACAGTGGGATGTACCAGTGGCTCTCAGGGGAAGAGTGTGGTGTCCAGAGATCCCTCACAGTGTTCCTTGTCCCCAGGAGAAGGATTCGTGTGTCTGCTGCCAGGCCCGCTCTGAGCCCCCACCCGCCTCCTGCAGCCGGCAGAGTGAGATGCTGACCATGTTCCCCAACCCCGACTGCTGGAGCATCCGTGTGGCGCTCAAGGTGCAGGAACTGGGCAGGTGCAAGGGCTCCCTGGGGAGCGACCATGCACCCCACCATGCTCTGCGGGTCCACAGCTCACCTCGCTCCTCCCCAGGATCTCCTCTTCAGTGTCTGTGGCTTGACTGTTCTCTCCACCATCATCTGCACGCTCTCCGCGGTTGTCTGTTGCATCCAGATCTTCTCCCTCGACATAGTCCACGTGGTGAGTCGCAGCCCTGGCCTAGGAGCAGACATGAGGCAGCACTCCCAGGCTGGAAGGGAGGGGGGCAGGGGTCCCAGGGCAGCACCTGGCCCGGGCTGGATGCAGGTTAAGGCCTGGGGCACACATCACTTGCCGGATCTCTGGACAGGGGGTCCCAGCTCTTCTTCCTCCACTCTTCCTGCAGCTGGTCCCCCAGCGCTCGAGCTCTGTCACGCTGGAATGCACATCCCCCCCTGACACCTTTCTGCAGAGCATGATGGACTTTGAGGAGTTTGTCCCCCCGGTGCCACCACCCCCCTACTACCCGCCCGAGTACACTTGCAGCTCCGAGACAGATGCGCAGAGGTACCTGCCTGGGAGTGGGGCTGGTGGAGCGGGGCCACCGTGGTGCAGGAGCTGGGGGTCTGTTTGTCCCCAGGCAGGGTTTGTCCCACCTGACGTGGCTTTTCTGCTCTTGCCTGCACAGCATCACCTACAACGGCTCCATGGACAGCCCCGTGCCCCTCTACCCCACCGACTTCCCCCCCTCCTACGAGACTGTGATGGGACTGCGGGGAGACAGCCAGGTGGGAGCCGGGGGGCTGCGGGCAGGGGAGGGCCGGGCAGGGCTGGGCTCCTGCTCTGTGCGTGCCCTGACCGTGCCGTCCTGCAGGCCACCCTGTTTGACTCGCAGCTCACGGACGGCTCACACGCCTGCACCTGCGACCGTGTCCCCTCCATCGTGCTCAGCGGAGAAGGTGAGCCTGCCCCACTGGCGCTTCTTGGGCTGGAGCCTCAGCACGATGGCAGAGGGCTTGTGGGGCGACCAGCCCTTCCTGGGTAGTCTTCACCCACGCCTGCTCCCCTCCCTGCAGTGTCCATGGACAGCGGGTCCCTGATCATGTCTGAGATCATGGACATCCCTGGGGACAGCAGCCCCTCAGAGGACTCGTGCCTGCTGGAGCTGCAAGGCTCCATGCGCTCCGTCGACTACGTGCTCTTCCGCTCCATCCAGCGCAGCCGCGCCGACTACTGCCTGAGCGTGGACTGCGTGCAGTGCAGCCACCACGCGCGCAGCCCCACGCTGGGCTTGCAGGGCCCCTTTGAGGAGCCGCCCCAGCCCCGGGTGCGGGGGGAGCGCTCCTACTCCTGCTCCACGGCGGAGCCCGGCCTCGATGGCGTCTTGGTGGGGGGAGCCGGCACCCACAGCTGCAATCGCCTGGAGGGGCTGGCCCGCTGCGTCGGCCCCTGCTTCCCTGAAGTGCGCCTCAAGGAGAAGGGCTCTCTGCAGGCTCGTGGGGATGGCCGCTCGGTGGGGCCCGGTGCCAGCCGCCTCTGCCACCCGCGTCGCAACAGCGAGACCTCCTGCCCCTCGTCCCCAGCCCCGGGGCTGAGCCAGCGCCCGCTCGTGAGGTCGCACAGTGACCCCGGCGTCCTGACGGCCGGCCATGCTGGTAGGTGACAACGGCTGCTGGGATGGGGACGTGCGTGCAGCGGTGTCTGAGTGGTACAGCTGGGACATGCCGTGGGCTGCGTTTGCCTGTGGCCATGGGGGGATTAGAGCCGGTCTCAGGTTGTCCCAGGAGGATGGGGGGGCAGAGGGGTGCCAGGGCTGGTGCTGGGGGTCTGCACAGCAGCGCGGGGCATTGCCAAAGCCTGAGTGCTCTTTCTGCTTCCAGCAGATTTCAGGGAAGTACTTTATACCAAAGCACTGGAGGACACTGAGTCCAACTCCTCTGCGGATACAGGTCAGGGCACTGGGCTGTACTGGGCGATACAAAAAGGTGGGGGGAACATTTCTGTAGCCCTTTGGGGATTGGGCTCACCCCACTGGGGCTGGGATGATGGAGACCCATGGTAGTACCGCTCCTGCCAGCTGGGGAGGGGAGACAGCAGGGACTGCGGGGGCAGGTCCCAGCAGGAGAAGTGTCCTGGCATCTGATGGCAGCGTCTGCGCAGGGCTGTGCTCAGAGGCCTGCCTGCTCCGCCGTTCGCACTGTGACTCCCCCCGACTGCTCCGGGCTGGCTCAGCGGGGAAGAGCAAGCTGCTGCCCTCCAAGAAGGTGACGCAGCAGCTGTCGAAGACAACGACCCGCTCACTGGGGGACCTCAAGGTCTGCCGGGGCACCCGTGGGCTGGTGGCCAGGTTCCTGCAGAGACCCAAACGCAGCCCGGCAATCGGCATGGAGGTGCCCGGGCACAGCTCCCAGGGGCACAAGCAGGTGAGCTCTGGCAGCCGTGGTGCCCCTGGGGACAGGGGTAGCTCCTCTTCCCCGGGGAGCCCCATCCACACCCCCTCCCTCCCTCCCTCCAGTCCCCACCGGCACCTCCAGGCTAGCCCTTCCAGGGTCTCCTACCTACCATCGTGTCAGCACCCCTGCTGCGGGCAGGGGCTGCAGGCAGAGCCTCCTCCCTGGGGCACTGTCCTTGCCCAGCCCTTCTTGATATGGCAGCCCCTTCCCCTCGGCCCCCACCAGAGCCCTCGGTGGGAAAATCGTGCATGTCGCAATGGCTTTGGCTTTGCCCCTGAGTCACCGCAGCCCAGAGGCAGTTGCTGGGACATCCCAGCCTCGGCTTATGGGACACTGAAGACCTTGCGCAGCCCAGGAGGCCCTGACGGGAATAAGCCCATCCTTAATGACAGCGTACATGTGTGACACATGCCTCCGGCATCACGCCTCTGCCATCCCTCGCCACCCCTGCCATCGTGCCCCGCACGCCCGCCCAGCTGCACCCCGGGCAGGGGTGCTGGCTGCAGGGCTGCAGCCTGTCCCCGGGGGTTGCAGGTTCCCTGGAGCGCCTGGCCAGGAGCAGAGCGGCCCCACGAAGGCATCCACCTGCAGAGCTGCGGGGACCTGAGCTCCACCTCGTCCCTGCGCCGGCTCCTGTCCGCCCGCCGGCTGGAGCGCAGCCGCCCACGGAGCCTCAGCGGGACCTGCAAGGAGAGCGCGCTCTGACGGTGCAGCCCTCGCTGCTGCAGGGACCCTCCCGGTGCCCTGGTGTGGAGACGGGGTCCTGCTCTGGGACAGGACCCTCAGACATTGCTTAGACGTTGCTGCTGCCCCGGTGGGGCTGGGTCCTGTGCCGCTGCCCCTGGGGGACCTCGGCTGGGCCAACCCGAGGGGCTGGTCCCCTGGGGTGTCTGCTGGGGGGCCGAAATGGTTGTGCCGGTCCCCTGCCCTGTCCCCTCTGCCAGCTGTGCCTGTCCCCTGTCCTGTGTTCCCCTGCGCTGGCCGTGCCTGTCCCTCACACTGGCTGTGCCTGGTCCCCTGTGCTGGCCATGCCTGTCCCCTGCCCTGTCCCCTCCGACACTGGCCATGCCTGTCCCCTGCCCTGTCTCCCCCTGTGCCATGCCTATACCCTGGCACAGCCGTGCCTGTCCCCTGGGATGGCCATGCCTGTCCCCTGCCCCCGGCCGTGCCTGCCCCCTGCCCCGTCCCCTCCTGCGGTGCCTGTCTCCCCCAACACCGGCCGTGCCTCTTCCTTGTGCTGGCCATGCCTGCCCCTGCCCTGCCCCCCCGCGCCGGCCGTGCCTGGCCCCTGGCCCCTGGCCGGTCCCCG